CTCGGCTTTCTTGATGAGATCTTGATACCTTTCGAAATGCAAATCCAAATCCTTTCCATTATCTAATGCGACCAATCGATTCAGGAATGTGGAATTCTTTGGAGCTTCTTTTCTTCGATTCCTCCCAATGTTGAGTCTTCTTGTCGAATCCATATCTCTTCGAGTCCAATTTTTCCATGGTCAGGGAGACATCATATTCTGTTTCAGCTTCCAATCCGGCATCTTCAAATTTCAATGTTGGCGTTAGTGAAGTTGGATCCTTCGAAATCATCTCCATATGAGGATAACGTTGAATCTACATAGATGTGCTCGTTTTTGAGGAAAATGGTGGTGACAGTGTTCACAGACATTGTAGCAGAATAAAAAAACAGAAAAAGTTAAGATTAAGTATCAAGTATCGATATCAGAGGAGAGGTATGATTCCGAGAGTAGATAAGAGGGTAAATGATTTTCAATTTCGGGGATCATACGAAGAAAATGGGCGTGGCCTAAAAGTGAAGAGGGAGGGACAGAGGGGTTCCCAGTACCCGATGCGTTACTTCCCAGGGACCCGATGAGATAACTACAGTTAGATCCAGTAGGACTTATCTTTTGTGTGTGATCATAACCTCTGTTTGATGCGCAGGTGCAAAACGACAAGGTAAAGAGATAGGATAGATAGAAGAGTCGGGATTCTCAAAAAATGGTACGACATTGCCTAATTATAATTGTGCAGACAATACACGTGGGATACTGTACAAAAACAGTTGTGAGGATAAAACCTGAATCAGCTGGGAATATTGGTTAGTGGATCACTTTTTAAAACTTTTCTCAGGAACCCTGACAGGGCCCAAATTTAAAGTGTAGATTTTTCCTGTTTCCAAACCTAGCCAAAAAGTTACAAAAAATTTTGAAAAAAAAGAAAACTTTGTTTTTTCTTGAGATTTTTTGGGTCGTGACCTAGATTTTTTGGGTCGTGACCTAGATTTTTTTGGGTCGTGACCTAGATTTTTTGGGTCGTGACCTAGATTTTTTTGGGTCCTGACCTAGATTTTTTGGTTCGTGACCTAGATTTTTTTGGGGTTATGACATAGATTTTTTGGGTCGTGACCTAGATTTTTTGGGTCGTGACCTAGATTTTTTGGGTCGTGACCTAGATTTTTTGGTTACGTGACCTAGATTTTTTGGG